TGGCAAATTTACTCAATAAAATCATATTTCTGCTTCCAAAAACTAGACAAACCACCCAAATCTTGTAACTCGTGGATTTTCGGGGTCGCTGAACATGAATTTGATGCCAAATTGACAGTTGACAACTGTCAATTCAACTGTCAACTTCTATAAAAAAAATTATTTTTTATGAAAATAACTGTATAAGGATTTTCGGTGTCGCTGATTACGAATATGAGATCAAATTGACAATTTGACAGTTGACAGCTGTCAATTCAACTATCAAATTTATAAAAACTGATTAATTTTAATGAAAATGAAAATATAAGGGATTTCGGGATCGCTGATTACGAATAAAAGATCAAATTGACAGTTGACAGCTGTCAATACAACTGTCAAATTTATAAAACTTGATTAATTTTGATGAAAATGACAATATAAGGGATTTCGGGGTCTATGATTACGAATATGAGATCAAATTGACAATTTGACAGTTGACAGCTTTCAATTGAACATGCAACTCTTCTCAAATGTGATTGTTTTTAAGGTAAATGACAGTAATATGGTTTTCGGGATATCTGATTTCGAATGATATGTTGGTTTCTTAGTCAATTTGACATCGTATACGTAATCAGCGACCCCAAAAACCCATCTATACTTATTTTCATGAAAAATAATCACTCTAGAAAACTTGACAGGTGATTTGACAGCTGTCAACTGTCAATTTGACATTACATTCTTAATCAGCGACACCGAGAACAAGTTATACAGATATTTTCATGAAATATAATCACTTTTTAGGAAAATTGACAGTTGATTTCGTAATTAGCAACCCTAAAAACCTATTATACTGTTATTTTCTTTAAGAATAACCATTTTTTATAAAAGTTAAGATATGGTTTGACAGCTGTCAACTATCAAATTGTCAAATTGACCTCATATTCGTAATCAGCGACCCCGAAATCCCTTATATTTTTATTTTTATTAAAATTAATCACTTTTAATAAATTTGTCAGTTGAATTGACAGCTGTCAACTGTCAAAATGTCAATTTGATCTCTTATTCGTAATCAGCGATCCCGAAATCCCTTATATTTTCATTTTCATTAAAATTAATCACTTTTTATAAATTTGATAGTTGAATTGACAGCTGTCAACTGTCAATTTCGCATCAAATTCATGTTCAGCGACCCCGAAAATCCACGAGTTACAAGATTTGGGTGGTTTGCCTAGTTTTTGTTAGCAGAAATATGATTTTATTCAGTAAATTCGCCATTCGCAAAAAAGTACCGAAAATTGTCGACTTTAAATTTCGAAAAAACCGCTTGAATGTTAAAAAAAAACATTTTTCGTGTCACATACGTCTTGCTTAATCTCAAAAAATATGAAAGGTGAGTTATAGTTAGTTAATTATGTCTACAGACTTTACAAATTGAATTTAAGAAGGAACGCCATTTATGCATTTTTGACGCTTCTGTCACCGCCACGCACGACGCCAGTTGGAACGCCATGACGCTCAAGTGGTTAAAAATGTTCGTAGTTGTAATATACATAAAGTACTTAAATTTAAGAAACTGGTTTATTAGATTGTAATTTATATACAAAGTATATTAAATTTTATCACTGACAAAAATTCAAATTTAAAAATTGCATTTTACTCAATTTATACATGTTCTTGTGTACAAAATAAGGTTTTTATTAATAAAGCAAAGTAATATCTTTCATGTAAATACAATTTAGAATCAATTTACATTGTAAAACTGCATATAATTTGACATTTAGAGTACTTAACCTAAATGTCAAATATAAGTATTAAAATTCTTGTATTTAGAATGCTTTTTTGAAAAATTTCTCCCTTATAAAACATTATTTGGACATAAACAACACGTTAGTTAAAGAATTACGCACTGTTGCTTCAATTTTAAATAAATTTTCAATATCAAGGAAGTAATGACCGTTCGGTGAAATAGGCATCTACAGCCGTCATGTTGTCACATTAAATTTCATATACATGTATCTTAGATTTTAAAAGGGTAAGTCCGGGGGAGTTGGCCATAGTTTTTTTAAAGGCCTGTAAAAATAAGAAGAAAGTGATTTATGTATTAACTTTTATTGCTAATTAAACATTGAACATTGAACTTACAAATAATAATAGAAATGATAATTTTTTTAAATGTAAAGAATCTTAAAATTAATATTTTTTAAAAAACACGTTTGGCCATCTCTCCCGGAATGTACGGGGGAGATGGCCAATACTTTAAAATCATTCTTTGGCTTTTCGCTTTATCAGAATTCTTTATTTTAAGTGATTATTACTTCTATTCTTCTTCTGACCACATTTCGAACATTTATCATTAAATTCAGTGCAATTTTCATGAAGCCAAAGGTGACAATCATTGCACTGAATCCAGTCTTCGATAAGCGCTCCCTGTTTGTCTGTCTCACCTACACAACAAGTCTACAAGGTATTTTTTTGAGATATCAGAGTGGTTTCCAATTTATTTTTATGTCCTGAACACGATCCTGGGTTACAAAATTGCGTATCACGTCAGGATTTTGAGTAAAGTGGGGGTAAAGTCTCCAAAACCCGTGTTTTTGAGGGTTTTCAGTATTTTTTTTAGGGTTCCGTACTCGGTTCGGAACCCTATTAATATCGGTTTTTTTGAAATCGTGTACCCCCCCCCCTAGCGGCCACACGAATTTATCTGGAGGGCTAAAATTTGGTACACATATGTATTTTCGCTTGTAGATTACAGGAAAAATATAGCCAACCTGATAGGAATTGATTATCATAGCGTTGTCAAGGAAAAACCATGAATTTTTACAAAAAATGCCTAAAAATGACTACGTACCCCCCCCCCAGCGGCCACATCTTTTTACATAAAGAGCTCAAAGGCACACTTACGTATTTTTACGTGAAAATTACAGGAAAAATATAGCGAACTTGATTCGGATCAATTTACATAGCGTTGTCAAGGAAAAATCAAAAATTTTGAAAAAAAATGATTTATTCTCCTTAGCGCACACAATATTCAACACAGACAGTTCATATTTAGTATACAAATGTATTTTTGCGTGAAAAATACAGAGAAAAAATGTAAGCGCGATTGGAGTTGATGATAAATTTAAGAAAAAATTGTATTTTTCCGCAAAAAACGAAAAAAGTTTATCTAAAGTGATTCAAATTTATATATTTTGACGTATTTTTACGTGTAGATTACAAAAAAAATATAGCGAGGATGATTGGAGTTGATTTTTCTGGAGCTGTCAAGAGAAAACTGATAATTTTAGAAAAAATCATGAATTTTCTCCCAATAACGAAAAAAATGTTATCTAAAGGGCTTCAAATTTCCTATTTTTACGTATTTTTATGTGTAGATTATAGAAATAATTTAATAAACATGATAAGAAGTGGAAACAGTGGACTTTTTGCTTAAGTTTATTTCTTCAGTCGTTATAACTCTAAAATAAAATAGGGGGTCCTTTATGTTCATTTTATAAAAACAAAAAAAATTTTAAATATGTGTTGTATTTCAAATAATATAAGTGATACGAAGAGGAACAATTTTCTTAAATTTTTTTTTAAATTGTTCCTTTTTGTATCACATTTATTATTTAACATACAACACATATTTTTTAAACATTTGTTTTTATACCAAAAAAGTTCGCTTCGAGTACGGAACCCTCGATTTCAGTGCGAGTGTAACTCGCACTTATCCGATTTTTTTCTCCTTAACCTGACGTGATAGAGACTTCTATATTAAAGCTTATATCTTACACTTTAAGACTCATATGCGCAAGGAAACAAAATTTGAAGTTTTGAAAAAAAATTAGGTTCAAGTCACCTAAAAAGATTTTTGGTGTATTTACCCCCATTTTTTTCAAAATTTCAAATTTTTTTTTAATCTTGCGTGAATGAGTCTTAAAGTGTACTATCTAAGCATTAATTTAAGCATATATAGAAGTGTCTAGCACGTCTGGTTAAGGAATAAAAAAATAATGAAAACCCTCAAAAGCACTGTTTTTGGAGACTTTACCTCCACTTTATTCAAAATCCTGATGTGATACGCAATTTTGGAACCCGGAATCGGGTTCAGCACACAAAAATACATTGGAAACCACTCCGCTATATACATAAAAAAGTGTTATTTTGTAGACCTGTGTAATGATTGTTTATAAACGTTTTTAAGATTTAATTACACAATAGTGATTATTTTATTTGATCATATTTAAATTTTAAAATCTCTGTTGCAGTGTCTTGTAATATATGTCATAAAAAATGTCATTTGCCACAGAATTAATGTTTTTTTAGCGAACACACGAATCTCAAGGGTGCCAATAACTTAAACAGTATGACCATCTCACCTCGAAAAAACATGGCCATCTCTCCTAATGCCAGGAGACAAATTGACACAACTAAAATTTAAATAAATAAATAAATTTTTGGAATAAATATAAAGTTATGACAAAGCTTGGGTCATGTACTTTACAAAAAAAGCATGAAATTCAAAATTATTCTATAAAATAACATAACACCAGTGAGAAACGTAAACTCATCACTTTTTTCCGAACTAGTCAAAACAACAAATCAGATTTTTAGTTACTTTTTCAATATTTTTTGTGAAGTTTTTTCTTTTAATTGTGTTTTGCCACAAAACAAAGCGAACTAATCTTTAATAAGCGATACATAGCAGCAAATTCTATAAAATATTTGAATTGGCCATCTCTCCCGCATGGACAACTCCCCCGGACTTACCCTACCTATAGTGCATATTCGCTTCATACGTATGTATATTAAATTTAATACAGATTTTTCTAACAGTATAGTGACTTTTACCTACTTCGTCAGACATTTTGGTTTTTATTTCTCTTTGTACCGTGTTAATTAAAGAAACACGAAAAAGGAAAATGCTTGTCCAAAGTAGGTAAACCCCAGACGGCGTATTGAAGTTTATCCAGTCCCAATACTCAAAAATAAAATTTGTTTCGACTATGTATTAATAAAATTTTATATTTTTGCAGGTATCAATTTCCACCTCTTAATCCTATTTGGTATATATGCTTAGGCCTTGTGATTTTGGCATTAGGAATCATAGGAGTATGTGGAAATTTTGTTGTTGTGTACATTTTTTTACTTACTCCGTCAATGAGAACACCAAGTAATCTTCTTGTAATTAATTTAGCCTTCTCTGACTGTGTGATGATGTTTCTTGAATGTCCTCCAATGATAATAAGCTGTTACTATGAAACCTGGATTTTAGGTAAACTGTAATTTTATATACATCCACATAGCACAATATATTACTGTAAGGATACTGTAAGCTCATTTGAATGTCTTGTAATGTAATCAAATAAAGGGAATTTCGTTTTAAAAATATTTGATTACTTGACTCATAACACTGTCCGACACTGATTTTGCCCCTGAAATAATTCTGGTCACTTTCAATAGATTTTTTCACGCTGTTTACGAATGTGCAAAGAAAAATGATCTAGCACGTCTATAGTATTCGAGAAAATTATTCTTAAAAAGTCAAAAATGCATGTTTTTGACGATATTTGAATTTAAATAAAATGAAAACAAGAGGTGCTAGAATCTTGTTCTTGGGCTCAAATGAAAGCTTGAATCTTGAAGAACGATTCCACAAATAGATAAATCAAGGGTATTGCGATAAGGGTGTTAAAAATTAGTTTTTTATTTTCGTTCAATTTTGTCATTTTCCGTATTTATTGAACATCGTATATAACCCTAACATTTTGAAACAAGTGTCAAACAAATGAATGTACCTTTCAAATTTTTTTTTTTTAATTTGAAACAAAATATCGAGCCCATAGTCAGGAGACCATTTAAGGGTAATACATATAGTCTATATAGGCATAGAATAAATAATATTCAATAGATTTTATATAATGCAAAACATAATACTTTTAAACAGAAAAATAAAGATATATAATTCGTCGCTATTAATTAATATTAAACAAAACAAAACATATATATATGTATCATGTTTATGCAACTTAAAAAGAAAAAAAAAGAGAAGAAATTAAACAATAGAAAATCCAGAGGGGTTTTAGCGTTTAGTTACAATATAATCTTTAATAACGTCTATAAATGAAAGAAGAGACATGTTAAAAAGGTCGATTCCTGCGTTGTGATGAAGGCACATAACATTAATTGCATTACACATATTGTATACAGGCGCTGAGAATCTTATTGGTGTATTTGGCATTTGTAAAAGAAACAGTTGGTAATAGCGCGATTGTAATCTTGGTATCTTAAAGTTGATTATTTCGAGGAGGTTTGGACAGTTGATTGAGTAGTTTATTAATTTAAATAAGAAAGTGGATTGATTTATAAATCGTCGTTCGGATAGTTTCAAGAAATTAAAATCTTCACACAACTTGTTATAATCAGAGCCTTTAGGGGGATATATGCCCGTTTTACGAAACACTAGAAACTTCAAAAACTGTTTTTGTATTTTTTCAAGTACTATGATATAGTTATTGAAAACTGGGTTCCATGGAATTGTCGCATAATTAAATTTTGAAAGGACGAAAGCATTATATAGTAATATCAATGTATTAATGTCCTTGAAGTTTTCGGCATTCCGAATCAGACATTCTAATGCCCTTTTAGCCTTTAAGTTAACAGACTCAACATGTGGTATGAAAGTTAGTCTAGAGTCAAAAATTGCTCCTAAATCAGTTATTATTTCTTTTCTAGTTAACTTAGAATTTTGTATAGAATATTCATAACTGACCACTTGCTCGCGTCTAGAGTAGCTTACAATGTAGCATTTATTTAGGTTAAGTTTAAGTTTATTTGTTAAACACCATTCGTTAAATTTATTTAAGTTGTATTGGAGGAATTTAGCATCGTTCAGGGATTTTGTAGGATTAAAGATTTTTAAGTCATCAACGAACAATAATGTTTTACAAGTTAAATATGTGGTAATATCATTAACAAAAACATTGAATAGGGAAGATCCTAGGACCGATCCCTGAGGAACTCCAGACGATGGAAAAAAGGGTGATGAGGTATAACCTACATACTGAACAACATTAGGTCTTTTTTTAAGGTAGGATTGGAGAATTAATAACAGAGATGTGGGTAAATTTAAGTCGGAGAGTTTTGTAAATAAAAGATTATGATCTACATTATCGAAAGCCTTTGAAAAATCGGTATATATCACATCTAGTTGGTCACCGTTAGATATAGCTTGATTTATTGATTCAGTGATACTTATTAAATTTGTAGTAGTAGATCTGTTATTAATGTAACCATGCTGCTCATCTGCAATTATTGGAGCCATACTGTAGGAGATGTGTTTAATTATCGATCTTTCAAAGACCTTAGCAAAGTTAGGTATTATAGATATAGGTCTAAAATTTTTTATGTTATCCTTATCCCCTGATTTATAAACAGGCACCACTCGTGTAACTTTCCAAGATATGGGAAACATACCAGTCGATAACATATTATTGTACAGGTAGCATAACGGTTCAGCTAGAATATTGTTCCATGATTTAAGGAAGAAACTAGGAATACCATCAAGTCCTGCAGTATTTTTATATTTTAATGATTTCATGGCAGCTGATACATCTGGTACAGATAACTGAAAATCAGGCGCATGAATACAATGTGTAATATTAATATCCTCATTATCAGGTGCATCAGGGATTAAGTAGACGCTTGAGAAAAAATTAGCAAAGGCATCAACAATACTTTGTTGGTTATCAAATGTTTGATCATCTAATTTCATTATATTAGGTATTCTTGAAGTTGATTTTGATTTGTTTACCATTTTCCAAAAGTCGTTTGGATTTGATTTACATCTTAATTCAATTTTTTCAAAGAACAATTTCCTTTTTTCAATAATACGCTTCTTTATACTACGAGTAATATGTTGTAGTTGTTCTTTGAGATGAGAGAGACAGTTACGACGGTATCGTCGGAGAATTGAATTTTTTAATTTTATATCACTTATTATATCAGGGGTAAAAAAGGGGGGAAAAGCAGGAGTTGATTTATTAGAGGAATAACGTGGAATGTATTCATTAAATAGTTCCAATATTTTTTGTTCCAAGATTGTACATGCTAGATCTATGTTATCAACGTCTTTAATACAGGACCAATTCCAAGAGGCAAGTTGAGTAAAAATCATTGGAAAGTTGCCACATTTAAAATTGAATCTCTGTTTACTAATACTCACATGGTCTCTTTGGGATGGATTGGTTGCAGTAGGAAAGGTTATAATGATACATAAAGAAGGATGGTGTACATCTTCTTGAACGAGTGGGAAACTAGAGTGGGAAACATTTCCAGGTATATTAGTAAAAATAATATCGAGACATACTCCACGAAAGTTACGTATAAAATTAATTTGACTAATATCAAATGTAGCGGCAAAGGATAATAGAGTTTTGAGTTTATGGTCAGCTATAAATAGGTTAATGTTTTCATGATGATTGTAATTTATAAAATTCGGTACATTAAAGTCACCCATAAAAATCACTTTTTGGTCAAACGTATGAACATGTGATTCAATACAATTAAAAACATTTATGAAATTTTCTGAAGATAGATTAGGTGGTAAATACAGTACTATGATATTAAAAGTTATATTACCTTTCTTGAGTCGAAGTGATAAAAAATTTATCTAATTTGGTATAACATGTGGGAAGTCAATCTGAATATTGCTTATATTAAAGACTTGAGTAGAGCCTGAGAAAATTTACCAAGTCTTGTAATTTTTATAGAATCAATAAAGGCAACGGGATCGTTAAAAATAGATTTCAGAAGGTTATGAATGTTATTACAGTCGAGGTCTTGATTATAATTTTGTTGATCATCAAGGGATTCGGGATGTCCAAAAATTAATAGATTGGATTTACGCCTTTGCCTATCTTCAAATTCACTAAACATAACATTAGCAGATTCGATGTTTTCACTAACGGTTAACTCTAATGTCTCAACCCGATTATGCACATTTAATTCATTTTGGAGGGTGTCTACATTACCTTCAACTTTATCCAATCTCACACCGAACTCGGTAAATCCCTGTTTAAGTTCAGAAAGTGAGATATCAAGTTTATTCAAACCAGTTTTTGTGTCACTTGATAAACTTGCAATTTGTTGCGAAATTAGATGGAAAGGGTTGCCATCGTTTGGAAAATGAATGGGATTATCTGTGTTGTGGTTGCAGTGGTGTTGGGAGAAACAGCTGGTGATGCATCAGGGCCGCAGCATTTCGCAAAGCCGATGTCGGGAATCACCTTTGTTTTATGAGCGCATTTAGGATGAAAGGGAGCGGAACAACCATTGCAGAAGACCGGGCTGACTACTTTTTTATTGCACATTCTACAAATTTGGTTATTAGAAGAGCCTTGACTACCAGGAATATCCAATAACTCCATATTATCCGGCATATTGTTATTCTCTTCAAAGGTCAATATTTGTGAAAAAGATATCACTATAGCACATGGGATCACAAAAACGCGAAAAACAATCAACCGTATATAAAACTAGTCACTATTATCACGTTTAGTGTAAACCTGTCCGTAAAAAATTCGTGTTGCACTTTTTTCTGCAACAAGTTAGTTAAAATTGCAATTTAGGCTTTAAAAGTCAATGTTTGCAGAATAGGTAACACTGCAGCACATGGGATCACAAAAGTGCGAAAATTAATCAATTACTTATAAAATTGATTAAAAATTATTACCACGTTTAATGTATAACTGTCACGTTACTTACATATTTAATCTTTTATTTTCTTTAAATCGCAAAATGCAAAAATTTATCATATTTAAATAAAATAAAATTTTAATAAAAATTTAATTTTTTTAGAAATACTTTTTCTTTATCTTTCATTTATTTAAATATAAATATATTTAAATAAAAAATATAAAAAGCAATAAAAAAGAGAGTATAGTGCTGAATAAGGTTTATTTACCAATGAAAACGTAGAAAATAATAAAAAAAATTAAAATTTATACATCAGCAATTTTTTCAAAATTTAATCAAGAAAATTTTTAAAATAGAAACAACAGTAAAACAAAAATTAAATTAAATTTTTTATTTTAATTTACGTTTGTAGACACCATCTGGTAGATCACGTACAAGTGACCAGTGAGCAGTTAGTTCATCACTAACTGCTCCAAGATTTTCAGGGAAGAAATCGAGATGAGAATCAAGAATGTGAATTTTTAAGGACATATTTCATACCATCTGCTGTTATGCAATAAATAATTAATTCCTTGACAA